CTATATTGAAGGCTATAATAAAATTAGTAGTGGCCATTTCTGAACTTAGGACGGGCACACTTGTGAGAGTATACATTTCCACCTCTGCAGATCTTAATTTCAAGCTTTTGTTATTGTCTCTGCTTTAGATTTAATGCCTTCTGTAAATTATTAGTATCATATACCTTTCCCCCATATCACTAAGAACCAGATCAAAAGGTCTTTTTTTTTTTTTTTTTTTTAAACGATCTTTAATATACTTATCTTTCCTCAGGGAGGCTATGTAACAGAAATAATGTATTGGGGGCGAGGAGGACAACTCTGCTTAGGTTTTTTTGTTTTGCCTACAACTGAAGGGGATGAATAGAACAAGGAGAAACCAAGTGTGCAAGGGGAGAAAGAAAGAAAACTAAAACAAGAAAATAATCTAGATAAATAGGGAAACAACACAAGGCTTTGAAAAACAGTAAATTACTAAGATATAAGATATTCATGCTTCTTCTAAAAATCATAATCCAAAGATATTTATATACACACAACTGTTTTGATTATTTGCTCTACATTTTCCTCCTCTGAATAATTTATTAGCTAAAAAATTAGAGTACCAGATTAATAAGAGATAAAGTGTTATAGGGGCATTTTCATCAAAATGAATTCCAAAAATATTCCAAACTAATTGTCAGTTGAGTACATTTTTAGAAATCATATTCTCTATCTTCAAGTGCTTGATGTAAACTTCAACCACTTACAATGAATAAAGCCAGATAATACATTCTATGTATTCTCCTGTTAAATAATACAGAATAGTGGTGAATCATATTCTGCTGGAAGTGAGTTCTGAGGAATACGGTTATGAAAACCAAAGAGCAAACTTCAGTTATATGGCAGAGAGAAAGCATTATAAAAATCAATAGTTACAATTCAGTTCTTTTCATCCTATAATACTTAAAAACAAACACCAAAACACACAGACATCTTCCACATAAAGAGGTATGAACTGTGCCAGAAAAGCATTTTTCTACAGAGACTGGCTGTTAAAGAAGTCACAGCTCTGTAATTGCAAACCATTTCTACATAGGATGAACTGTTATAAATGTGCCCTTTTAGTAATAAGGGTCATGAGAAAGTCACACTATGAATGGTTTTAAGTTCTCAAGGACACTACACTAGGCCAATCCTAGAATTTCATAAAGTCCTATAAACCAGTACTTAAAAATATTTAAATTCTGAGAGGTTCACAACTATAAAATCCCGTCCTTCCATATAACAATACCTTCTCTATTACACTGACAAAAGGAAGATATTTTTTGTCCAGAGTTTTCCTGGCAACTGCCTTTCAAAAGGCTTTCCTTAGTAACTGTTTTTCATGTAATCCAAGATGTCAATTTTAAGCCTCATCATTAAATTCTGTACTGAGGAAAATATGTTACCAATTAATATAATATTTTTCTACCAACTTTGAGGTGCATTTTTCAGAGATGTTAAAATCTGAAAAAATGTTATCTTATAAATCCAACAGCAATAATTTTAAAAGAAAAATTTGTATTTAACATACTCCCTTCGAGATAGAAAACATGTTGAATAAGACTATACCTCAGAAATTTTGGGTTTGGTCCCAGTTTTACTTTAAAACAACAGAACATAATTATTTTTATTTTATTTTTATTTTTTTTAATATACTTTATTGATTTTTTACAGAGAGAAAGGGAGAGAGCTAGAGAGCTAGAAATGTCAATGAGAGAGAAACACCGACCAGCTGCCTCCTGCACACCCCCTACTGGGGATATGCCTGCAACCAATGTATATGCTCTTGACCTCTAGTTTTAACATAGTATAGTTTTAATAGTTTTTTCCTAATGAAAAGAGGCGCTTTCAATATTGTATGCTTTGATATAGAGCCTAGGACCCTTCGGTCCGCAGACCAACGCTCTACCACTGAGCCAAACCGGTTTCGGCAGAACATAATTATTTTTAATAAGTTACCATCTTATCAAGGCTAACTATAGATTCCATACCTCACAGAACTGATTCAAGAAATAAATGAGTTCAATTACATTATGTGTACCTAAAATGTAAAGTATAACTGTGCTGTCACATTTTTATTAATGCCATATTTGAAAAATATAATATGCCAGAGTCTTGCTATGGTTGGACTTTATTAAAAACGAAGAAAAACAACACCTAAATTCTGCTACTTTGTTAATTTTGTTCTCAAAATTTAGTTGAAGTGATAATTTAGTCAGTAAATAAAATTATTTTAACTATTAACAGTACAGGTGGAGAATCAAAGTACACTGCAGATAATTACAGATTTCTTTTATAGCACAGTAGAAAATACTTTAATTATGAAAATTCTGAGGAGTATATATGAGGGCTAATTATCTGTTATAGTACCAACTCAAGTGGCTCAGAAACTGGATTTCCTTCCTTGTATTATACTTTTTTAAAAAATTAGTATTATATGCATATTTTTAAATGTAGGCTCCTTTTTTCATCTGTACTAATAAAAGGGTAATATGCTAATTAGACCGGACATCCTTCCAAACAAAGCCACAGCAGCTGCACTAGAAGTCCCGCCTCTGCGAGTGAGCTGCACAGGAAACACCTTTTCTGACCACTCATTGTCTAAACTCGTCGTTCACACTCGCGGTGCTCTTGGTAACTTAGGTAATAAGAATCCAAGAAGGTGCCCGGACCAGTTTGGCTCAATGGATAGAGCGTCGGCTTGGGGACTGAAGGGTCCCGGGTTCGATTTTGGTCAAGGGTATGTGCCTTGGTTGCGGGCATATCGCCGGTAGGGGGTGTGCAAGAGGCAGCTGATCAACGACTCTCTCTCATCGATGTTTCTAACTCTCTATCTCTCTCCCTTCCTCTCTGCATAAAATCAATAAAATATATTAAAAAAAAAAAAAAAAAAAAAAAAAGAATCCAAGAAGGTGATCTAGGGTTTTTCCACCTCTCTTCTGGAGAAAAAAATGAGGTCAGCTGCTGGAGGGACTAAAAAATGTCATATCCTGCCCTAGCTAGTTTGGCTCAGTGGATAGAGCCTCGGCCTCCAGACCACAGGGTTCTGGTTCGATTCTGGTAAAGGGCACATACCCTGGCCCAGGTCAGGGCTCATGCAGGAGGCAACCAATTGATGTGTCCCTCTCATATTGATGTTTCTCTGTCTTTCCCTCTCTCTTCCATGCTCTCTAAAAATCAATGAAGAAATATCCTCATGTGAGGATAAAAAAGAAAGGACATCTCCTATAAAAGAGACATCTTAAAAATGCCTAAAGGAAACTAATTTATTCATAGTGAAGGGGCTGGAGTCCATGTTGATGAAAACACCTTAGCAGCTGCAAGGACTGAAGGCCAGAAGCCTTGGGGGCCGGCAGTGGCAGCAGCAGCAGGGTGATGGGGGGCGGCACCTTCCCAGTCATCTCCTGCAGAGGGAGGCCAGACTGCAGCTTATGCCTGCTCCCTGTGGGGAGCAAGCCTAAGCCATCAGTAGGATATCCCCTGAGGGCTCCCAGATGGTGAGAGGGGACAGGCTGGGCTGAGGGAAAATTCATGCACTGGACCTCTAGTTTTAACATAGTATAGTTTCAATAGTTTTTTCTAATGGAAAAAGAGGTGCTTTCAATATTGTATGCTTTGATATCTGTTTGGGGCATTTAAATCTACCTATCACAAAGAAAAAACTCATTTTGGATATCTTTAAGGGAACTCATCACTTCTAAAAATCAATCAAGAGTCTTTCCTTCATTTCAGGCAAATGAGAAATAAAGTCAACTAAATGTTCAGCCCTTACTAGTCCTCCTCCGCCATCATCAGATGCAGCCTAATTAAGGAAGCCCTTGCAATAAGTAATCATTTCAAGCAAATCCAAACCAAAGGGAATAAAACCCTTTGTTCCATTAAATAGGTCCATCATCATGTGGATTATCTTCCAAATTAAAATGATGGACATAGATTCTATGTCTAATGATGACCATTAGACATAAAATCTAAATTGAGCTTTATAGTGAGTCAGCAATATAATTTTTAAGTGACAATTAAGCTGTGTGAATTTAAGTATTTACTAAAATATTTCCCCCACAATTATATCCATAATATAAATGCACACAAATTTTAACCAAAATACAATGTTTTGTATAAAAGTGTACTCTGCTCAAAAGAACTATTTTTTAAGTCATTTATATTATTTCTGAACTAAAAGTACAATTGCTATTGAGTTACTGTGTCTGTATTCCAAACAAGAAATGATTTTTTATTTTTTAATATATTTCAATTAATTTCAGAGATGGGAGAGAGGGAGAAGGAGAAATATCAATGAAGAAACAGAACTATTGATAAGCTGCCTCCTGCACACCCCTTTACTGGGAAATGGAGCCTGAAACACGGGCATGTGCCCTGACTGGAAATCAAATCGTGATCTCCTGATTCATAGGTCAATATTCAACTACTGAGCAACACCAGCTGGGCAAAAATGTTTTTTGAAAAAATGCTGAGGAAAAAATTATAAATCAAAGCAAAGTAATTAATTTTTGTGAGGAATCCCATTATTGCAGATTAAATCATCAACCTAAATAAATAAAATATACAGATTCTTCACCTAACAGCAGTGGTTTTGTTTTTAAAAAATCACTGCATAGCCCTCGTTGGTTTATGTCAGTAGACAGAGGGTCTTGCCTGCAGACCAAAGGGCCCCAATGTTCCATTCTGGTCAAGGGCACGTATCTTGGTTGCAGGATCCTCCCGGGCCCGGGCCCTGGTCAGGGCTCGTGCAAAAGGCAACCAACCAATGTGTTTCTTTCACATCGATATTTCTGTCTTTTCCTCTCTCTTCAACTCTCCCTAAAAATCAATGAAAGAATATCCTCAAGTAAGAATTAAGAAAATAAAAAAGATTTTTAAAAATTCATTGCATACTAATTTGACTAGGAATTAACTTTATCTAGAAAAAAAAGGAAAAATAAGATTAATAGTTCATTTTTATAGTATAAAATTATCAAATAGATTGAATAAATACGTACAGTCCCAGAGAGGACATCATGGGGGCAACAGTTGAGAAGGTGACTCTTGCATACTCTGTCATCACTGAATTTGATTCGTTGACGAGTAGTATCTCCTGTAATATAGGAAAGTTAATAACATTCAAGGTTAGACAATAGGAAAATGTTTATTTTCTGAAAGCCCGATTATTGCTAGCTTTTAATGTGTGGCTACACACACACACACACACATTTATAAATCAGTTCAAGAGAGATTAGTTCTTAATATATTGGATAATATCTTATGGGGGAAAAAACGATTTTTAGACAACATGCAGTTGCAGTACGTGTACTGCATATATAATTTAAATGTTCAAAGTGGGAAAGCAATGCATTCTGTTAAAGTAATTCAGAAAAGCATAGAATTTAGAGCAGGAATGGACCTTAAGGATTATTGAGTCCAACTCCTACACATTGCAGATGAGGAAACTGTGGCCTGGAGAGGTTAAGCGACTTGCAGTAGACCCACTAGGACAGTTCTATTAGTATAGAACGTTCCCTACTTGACACTAAGCATTGATTTCTTTTGTAATTATTTAATTAACTGAAAAACATAAAAAGTAATCTTGCAAATATTGCATACACACTGCGAATCCCCACTGAACCCCAGACGCCATTTCTTCCACTATTTTGTTCCAGCTGAAGTGTCTCCCTTTTGCTGCTGGGAGGAGTTAGAGAGGGTAGAATAACGTGTTTAAGAGTGTACAAACCTGGAAGAAGGACTTACACACCAGTCAAACAAAGGCACATTGCCTAAATGAAAAGTTAACTGTAATGCCTCCAAAGGCCCCACACTCCAAGTTTTATGTAGCCTGTGCTATATATGGCCTAACATTTAAATTAATTTGTCTTCATATAGCACAATACACCTCCTAAGTTATAGAAGCATCCAACCTGCTACTGATGCCTATCCACTAAAAAATTTACAAATTCTAAGGAACAATAGGTAACTAACTCTAATAACAAAATATAGGTGGCATTTATAATTTCTTTGCTTTGGAAAAAGAAAAAAACTCTTAATGCCATTTAGAGTGACAGCCCTAAAAAAAAAAAAAAAAAAAAGTTTTATTTTACCCTTCAATTGATGAATGAAAACCTGGTGAATGAAAACCTACTGGTGAATTACTGAAGCAGAGAACTGTTGGTACCAAATAGATTGTAAACACTGCTGTACTTCACATGATGCCTGAGGCACTCCAAAAACTTTCACCTAGGAAGTGATTCAATTATTTGAATTTCTGTTTTTCACATGTGAATTACAAAAATTGTTAAAACTTTACCCCTTTTATGTGGTCTTATTTTGAAGAGTCAACTAACTAAAGACAACTAAATACTGTCATTTTTAGGTGGGGTAAGATTTTGTTCAAATTGTTTTTACGTGGTTCATTTTAAGTCTGATTTGTAAGCAGGGAATATTTTTAAGAAGAGTAATTTATAGCTAAAATGATAGCTTCAGAGCAGTTCAACAATAGGTTTTCTAGAGGCTAGTCTCTAGTTAAAGTAGGTTATTTCTGACATCACAATTTGGAATAATTCATTTATTGTTCACGCCTGCTACTATAATAAAGGTAATTTTACTGATCCTTTTTTCCTTTTAAACACAACTGCTTTTGTTCCACATTCATTAACACATCTGAAAAGTTAGCAATAACTCACGGCTCGGCGAATGCGGGGCCTTTCTGACACTCCCTTGCAGATTGAAGTAGTCAGGCAAAGATACATTGAACCTTTACAAATAAAACAAGGGGCCAGATTGTTCAGTTTGTATATAATAGACTGCCAGCAATTTCAATACAGCATCTAGATGTACATGTTGATTGTAAAGATTCTTGTATATGAAAACAAAAGTGAACAAAATCAGGGTGTTTTTATCTTTTAAATATTGGCTTAACAAGTGTGTAATTTAAGAGAAAACTATAACCAACCGTTGGTAAAAGTCCAAGGCTGGAGCTCTTGAAAGTGGTCCTTGGGCCAACAGGTGTTTTAAAAAATGTTTTTAAAAAGATCTATTTCATTCAGACTTTAGTGAGGGCCTTGCGCTCTTGTTAGAACGATACTATAATATGATAAGCTCACAACAGAATGGTAATGCTTATTACAAGCTTTTTGGCATGTTAATTTTTTATTTTAAATCTGCACCCAAATTATGCTAAGAAATTTAAGGATGATACTTTAAGCAGAGAGAGAGAGAGAGAGAGAGAGAGAGAGAGAGAGAGAGAGGGAGGGAGGGAGGGAAGGAGGGAGGGAGGGAGGGAGGGAGGGAGGGAGGGAGGGAGGGAGAACAAAAACGTTCATAGCTATAAGTCCCCTTCCTACAAGTTTCTAAGCTTTTCAGTAATGCAATAGCAGTGTTGTTTCAGGGCTATCCAACTAATGGCTAAAAGATTATAAGCCAGGCCTTAGAATAAAATCAAGATTCAATAAGTATTACCAATCAAACATTTCATCAAGTAGAGTGACTGATTTTGCTTCAGAAATCACATTAAATCTAATACTAAGACCTGTGCCCTGAAGACACAGCTGTCAGATAAAATATGAACAATTACAAGTATCACGTTAGCAAACATCCCTGATAAGCTTTAAAAGAAATCTGTTTCTGTAAACATCAAAAAGTATTTAAAATACCTTCTCATTGCATTTAAGTGATTGCTCTTTATACATTTGATAACTGAAGTAAACACAATATGCTATCAAAAATCAGCCTATACTTTATAGAAACTTTTAAAACAAAAAAAATAATAAAATTCCTATTAATTTGAGATAAAGAAATATCCTGAGAGGGACTAGCAACTGGGTATCTGTTTATTGGTATTTTTAAAGTTTTACTTAAGAGACTTAAAACTTTTTAAAATAATTTGGCTATATTACCATATCCATGAAGTATTTAATAAATTTGGGCATAAGCCATAAAAATATAATTTGGCTAAACAAAAAAATTAAAATTAAAATACTAGTAATTTTAGTTTCTATCAAGATATCTGGCCCAAACCATATTTTTCAAAACTAGGTAAAACAGTGCCCATGGGGGGGTGGGGGGGGGGGGGTGGGGGGGGAAAAGGAGAGGGGGAAACTATAATCAACAGGGAATAAATAGGAATCAAATTTCCTTATAATGCAAGGAATTATTTTATGCATTCGATGTACTTTATCTTTGGATGTTCTAAGAATATATTCATATAAAAATAACCTAAATTAAGAAAAACAATTACCCTGTTACACTATTATTGTTTTTGGAATCATAGAATCAAAGCTATTAGTAAACACATCTTTTGTAGACAATGGGGTTACAAAGAGGCATAGAAGACAAGCTCTGTATCCTCAAGGAGTCCATGATTTTACTAAGAGAAATAGGACATTCAAATGAAGTATAGCAAGTACCGTATTTTTCGGACCATAAGACGCACTTTTTTCCCCCCAGAAGTGGGGGGAAAAAGTCCCTGCGTCTTATGGTCCAAATATAGCCTACACATATACTTTAAAAAAAAAGTTTCTTTACTTGCCTGGCTCTGTGTAGTCTCTGTGTGCTTGCCCGGCTCTAAAATGGTTCTAAATGCTGCTATTTACTTTACAGGGTTGATTACATGTGTTTATGACTGTGATGTTGGGTTTTAATGCACATAAAATATTTTAGGACACTGTTTCAGAATCTTTTTTTCTTCATTTTCCTTCTCTAAAAACTGGTGTGTCTTATGGTCCAGAGCGTCTTATGGTCCGAAAAATACGGTAATATACAATGTAACCTAACGCAAGTGCCAAACTGATGTTTCAAGTAGTAGTACTTAGGAATTCTAAGACTAGAATGACCACCAAGGACTGGAGAAGCTAGAAAAGGCTTCCTATAAGCAGTGGCCAAATTTTGAAGGAAAGATAGGACTTAGACCAAAGGAAAATTTCCCCCCCCCCATTGTTCCCTTCAATCCAGACTTTGTGTATAAATAATGTAAAAAAAATTTAAAGTTTAAAAATAATGGGGCAGAGATTAGGCTAAGTTATTTGTGTTAACAAAATGTTCTACCCATAAAAACATGGATGTCTCTCTGTTCTGTAAGTTCCACAATAATTCATTAGACTTTGTATATAACTACAAGGTCGAGTTTTTAGAATTTAAATGGAAGCATCAAATTTTCTATTAATATTTACCATCAGCAACTCATCCCATTCATGAGTTTCATGAATTATAACGTTTATTTGGGAACACCTGAGTCACAGGTGTACATTAAAAAACTGAAATGTGGGGAGGGAGATCTGGGGGAGATAATAGATCAACCGAAGAACTTGTATACATGCATATAAGTACAACCAATGGACATAAAACTCTGGGGAGGGAGGGGGGCCAAAAAAAAACCAATAAAGTATTTTTTAAAAAAAGATTAAAAAACTGAAATGTATATTATTGCTCTCAACGTCTCTCAGTAACACAACAGAGCCTAAGTGGTACTGAGGCAGTTTCACTCAGGGAATATGACCACTAAAAAGAAGGATGCTGCCCAAACTATACTCAAATACTGCTATTCTCCAAACCCCCTTACATCTGTTGGGAGGGAAAATTTTAAGCACACTTTAAATCTGAAAACTGCCATTTTATGGTCCTGCCTTTTTCTGAAACTGACTTAGACTTAAAACTGTAGTAGTTACATTTAAAACCTTAGCCCAGATGGTATCTGATATCATTTTACAAGGTGCATGCTATTTTCCCAATACCCACCCCCACCCTCCAGTGCTACCCACCCTCTCCCTCCCATACAAACAATAATTCAAATCAACTTTCACAGATTTAGGTGCTATTTTAAAAACATCAAAATTTTACTTTACCCATTCTCTCCGATGCTCCCTGTATTTTTTTAAGCTGTGAGTGGATGACCATGCTATGTGATCAACAACTGTGAAGGCTAAGCAAAAGTGAACTGAGTTTAGTATTATAATTTCAAAAGAACCTTAAAGTTTGTAATAGTTGACATACATAATGGTATGCAGATACCTTATTTTACTGCATATTATCAGGCATTAATTGCAAGCAATTTATAAAAATAACTAATTAGTTGTACAGAATTAGCTTAAAGCTCAACTTAGGGAAAAC